TTAAATTTTCCTCTCTCGCAAAAACGGAACAGGAGATGCCAAAGAATCTCCTTTAAGATGAATTGGAAATGCTCTGTATTAATACTGGAAGAACTTTGACATTTTGAAACCGAAATGTTGCTCCCATTAACCAATACGTGACAATATAGAATCGACCTTTTCCTGACAAGAGTAGTGACCTCAGTGGAAATGTTTTAACTCCCTGTCTTTACAGAAAACGATTCAGTGATATACAGAGCTATTTCAAATTACTCTTCCAGATCCATGGGCCTGGTGGTGTATCTACTAATCTAGATCCTGCTTCAGCCAAACGTTCAAGCGTGTACTTGCTGTTAAACATGCAAGCGATTCCACGGGCGCAGCAGAACTACTTGCATGCTTAAAGCTAAGTACGGCTCCTGAGTGCTTTGTTGTGTCGGGCCATAACCCTTCGGTGTATCACTGGGGAGTGAGAAAGACTCCCCCCGCAGTGAAGTGACTCCGCTCACCCTTTTCTTGGTTGTGGAACTTACATTTTCACAGAAGATAAGTAAGTGCAGCTTCCCGGGAAAATTAGAATTCCCAAGTGCCAGGAGCCAGGTCTTCTGTCTTCTGATAATGGAATTGCTCCTTTGTGAAACACATTCGACAGCAGTAATACTGTGTGAAAGAAATACAGAATATAACATGAACCCCCTCTCTGGTTGCACGCTTATGGCAGTTCCACACGATAGCTGGTGCCCAATGGGGGGTCCCCAAGACTTGCATGTAAAACTAGTATAGATGTCTTCTCTTTTGTAAGTTTTATTTTTGTAACCGTGCATGTAAAGCATCACTGAATCAATGGATCTGTTGAAGAACTCAGCTGCTGGAACCATGCAAAATGTTTTGAATTGCCCTTAAAATATGGAAAATGTTTTCTGAATGCTTTATATTCTTTCTGCTGTAAATTAAAAACAAAGAAAATTTCCCCATACAAAGCGTGTGCCTTTTTTTAAACACGTCTCTTCCATCCTAGTTTAGGAGTGAATGTAGTCCTTTAGTCACTGTAAATAACCATAAAAAAAAGTGTTTCTTCTACTACGTGACCTGCTTGTAAGTAGCATCTAGTTTCTTAAGGTTGTAAGCTGAAGAGTCCTCAGCCTACCGGCGAGCAGGTGTGTAGCCCCTGGAGCTTGGGGGGATTCACTAAAGGCAACAACATGGTCCGTTGTTGTAGCCCTTTCTGCTGCTGTATTCCAGTGTGTGTAACCTTTGGTGTATCAAGCAGCAGGTTTGAGAGGAACTCTTTTTCTTCTGGGTGTCCTGTTGAAGAGTGCTGCTGACCAGTGATGGTCCGCAGCTCCCGTGCGTGGCACTGCCAGCCCAGTCCTTCCCCAGTTCAGAGGCCATTCCAGAGCTCTGTGGCACTGCTCTGCACTACCGACGTGGACGCGAGGCCCTGCCGGTGGCTCCCATGCCAGCAGCTGCTGGACAAAGCCTGTACACAACAGCCACCCTCTCTGTTTCCCCCCCGAGGCACTCGCCCCAAGGAGGAACTTTTCCTCTTGCATCTTGTCCACGCTCTCAAAGCAGAAAGGAAAACTGTTTTAAGACCACAGACGCGGGGTACCCATCTACCCACAATATCTGAGCTTCAAATTACAGGTTTTGCTAAGATGACTGCAACTACAGAAAAGCATTAAAAATCCATTTGTCCTTAAAATACAAGTTCTGCCCAGCTGCAGCTTGCAGCATGGTTTGGTGGAAATGAGTTTTCACAGCAATATGCTGTAGTTTATCAAATTTGGAAACGTTCTGTGAAGTTATGTAAGGTGACATGACACTACATATTTATAAATATTTCACCAACCCTTAGATGGCCTCAATTCTGATTAGGTTTTCTAACACAACTTAAAGCAGTTCTATAGAATCGTATATACGTGGCAGATACATACTCATCTATGGACCACTAGCTGTTCGGAGATCAAATTATTTGCTGTTCCTCTCCACTAGGCGATCACTTTCCGGGCAGGGTGTCTGGGCTTCTCACAAGAAACCATGCACACCTAGTAGTAGAGTGATAATGTTACGTTGTGCACAGAGCAGAGGCAAATCTGAGTAGAATTCAAGAAGCCTGCAGGTGCAGAAACCTAAGAGGTCACACTTAATTACACAGTAATACTAAGAGACTTAACAGCTAACTGTTGCACTGAACAAATACATAGGTTACATGAACCAGCCCTCAATAATGCAGTTTGTACCCGAATACAAGGCAAGGCTAGCAGGGAAAAACAGCTTTAATAAATTAATGAGCTGGTCTGTGAAAGACTATGTTAGTACTATTAGGAGTAAGTTCTTCCAAAACCCAGGACCACAACAGAAGATGAGATTTCATTAAGAGAGTTTCTTCTGGACTACAGAGAAACAGGTTTAATTACGTTTCTCTTTAAGAATAAATCAGCATTTAACTCCCCAATTTGCTCACAGATACTTCCCCGATTTTCCATTTTATGTGCCTGTTAATTCCTGGGTTCTCCTTCAGCATCACGGTGGGTTAACGCTGGTGAGAAATTAAGTACCTACCAGCTGCTGGCTCATTCCTCCACCTCCCCCCCTTCTCCCCAGCAGCATTGGGGAAGAGAATTGGAAGAGCAAACATGAGAAAAAATGCCTAGGGTGAGATAAAAGACAGTTTAGTAAGTGAAGGCAAAAAAGGGAAAGAACAAAAAATAAGAACAAGTGATCCAAAGGCAGTCACTCACTGCCTCCCACCAGACGCATGATACCTTGGAAAGACCACACACACACACCCCCAGCTTTACTGGTGAGGATGATGTGACCTGTCGTGGAAAGGGGTCCTACAGGAAAGCTGGGAAGGGACTATTGATCAGCAATAAGACGATGGAGAATGGTTTTAAACTGAAAGAGGGGAGAATTAGATCAGATATTAGGGGGAAATTCTTTCCTGTGAGGGTGGTGAGCCCCTGGCCCCGGTTGCCCAGAGAATTTGGATATCGCAAAAGCTATTTCCGCTCACTATGTCAACAACACTGTTGTGGCTGCCCCATCCCTGAAGGTTGGACGGGGCTTGGAGCAACCTGGGCTGGTGGGAAGTGTCCCTGCCCAGGGCAGGGGGGTGGGACTGGGTGGTCTGTGAGGTCCCTTGCAACTCTGACTGTTCTGTGATTCTTCAAATGTGATGAACCGCCCTTTGGTCTGTTCACCCAGCCGTGTCCCCCTCCAGCACCTCTCCCACCCCCAGCCTGCTCGCTGCAGGGGCACCGTGGGAAACAGAGGTGGCCTTGGTGCCGTGCACACACGGTTCAACAACAGCCAAAACATCAGCGTGTTATCAACACTGTTTTGGTCACAAACCAAAAAGACAGCACCATACAGGCTGTGATGGAAGCCACCCACTCCATCCCAGCCGAGCGCAGCACAGACATAACCCGCCAGGGCTCTGAAGAATGAGCCCGGGGTACTTCTGCGCTTCGGTCACACCAAGAGCCCTTCACAACCTGCGAGAGCGACAGCAACAAACCCACCCACCTCGGCAGGCCTTCACCTGCCGCATCCTCCCCTCGGGTGGTGCAAGGCACATGCTGGTACGATTTTTAAAAGAAAAAAAAAGAAACAAACCCGAACACACACACACACGTTTCCCGCTCTATGAGCACAACATCTCCAAATCACCACATGGACTCAGTTCAGGCCGAGCGTTTGCTACTACGGCACTGCAACCGCACTACTTCCGAGGGCTCTCCGCAGAGAACGGGGCCTCGCTGGGCGCAGCAGCCCCGAAGCGGACACGGCGCCCGCCCGCACACAGGCCGCGGCCGGAC